TGAATAATTGATGCCTTTGAATTATGGTGTTGGTGAAGAATATTGAATATACTATGGACTGCCAAAAGAAGGAACAAATCTGTCTTGGAAAAAGTACAGCCAAGATGCTCCTTAGAGGCAAGGATGGCGAGACTTCATCTCACGTACTTTGGACGTGTTATCAGGAGGGACCAGTCCCTGGAGAAGGACATCATGCTTGGTAAGATAGAGGGTCAGTGAAAAGAAGGAGGACCTTGGAGGAGATGGACTGACACAGTGGCTGCAACCATAGGTTCAGACATGGCAATGAATGATTATGAGGATGGCGTCGGACTAGGCAGTGTTTCGTTCTGTTGTACACAGAGCTGCTGAAGCAGAACTGACTCTGGCATCTAACAACAACAGCGACATAAAGCAAATACACGTAAAAGCTAGAAGCCCTTTTGGATGTACTCTGCGGAAGCCACAGTGGAAAGAGTAACAAACCACAAGTTCTTTGGGTTCACTACCAGAGGGACTCCAGTAATATTATGCTCAAGAATAAAAGGAGGCCGAGAAATAGATGGTTTAAGATTCCTTTCTGCAAACAAGGTTCGGAAGTAGCTGGGTGATAGAAGGGAGAGATCTACTGTCGTAAGCTTTCCCCTAACTTTAGATGATGACCGTGGGGATAGAGCTTGTTTCTTCAGGCGTAGTCAAGTAGTCAGAGGTTCTACACTTGGGTAGACCATATTGCTCTTTGAATTATAGCTTTCTTTTCAACACTTTCTGGTATGTTTAGTAAAAAGAAGCTGTCCCTTTTTTTTCTTTAATGAATATGGATAAGGAGTGTCAGGCAAAAGCCCTCTGAAAATAGGAACTTTATTCTGGGTATAACCCTTAAGTATATAGGTATGGTTTCTAAACTGGTAATGGTAATGATTCCTTCTTGTGATGATAATTTTCATTTAGTAGAATTTGGGAAGCCACTTGGAAAAAATAGAATTTCTTCTTTAACATTGATTGTTTTGTATCCAACAACACTTGCATCCAGAAGGTGAAGAAATATCTTCCGTACCTTGTGTTTATGCCCTAAAAAATGAATTTAGAATTTTCTTTTGAACAAATCTATTGTTTAATCTACTCTGCTTCACAGCCTTCACTCCGTAGTCCATTCTTTGTCAAATCCTCCAAGAGGTTAGAAACCTGTCATTTTAAAGAGCTCTACTTCTGTTGGGGGGGCTGGGGTGCTTTTCTTGGCCATGTTTGAGACCAGCTCTCAACGGAAGCAGTCATTTCTAGAAAATATTTATGTCCTTTCTCCATTAAATGAGTTTAATTATTATTAGGAAGAGAGGGCATAGGTTGTTTTAAAATCAGACTATTTGAGTATTGGTATTTGTAATCCTAACGTTGAATAAAACGATACAGTGTATTTTTATGGCACTTACCTTCAGTTTTTATCTCCCTTCATTTTAGGAATGTCTCGAGGGAAATCAGTGATCAGCTCCCTCAGTATCATGGGTGGAAGCAGTGGACCCCCCTATGACCGAGCTCATGTCACAGGAGCCTCCTCAACTAGTTCTTCAAGCACCAAAGGCACTTACTTCCCCGCAGTAAGCAATCTTTGTTTTCCATTGTTTCACTTTGCTAAAAGACATATGACCTTTGATTTTTAGCTCACTCAAATGTGGGTGCTCAATGATGGCAATGTGAAAATAGTTTTTTTTTTTTTTAGTATAGAATTTAGGTATATAAGGGTCAAAGAAGGATTTACCACGACCCCTGTACTTATAAATTTTCAAGTTCTGCTGTGTAATAACCAGCATGTTTGAAAGCACTGGGCATTAATTTCACATTTTATGTAAAAGTAGAACTACTAACTGATACCACGGGAGAGACCTAAGACCTTCACACTATGTCCTCCCAAAAGAGAAAGCATCCCAGACATTTCTTCTGTCGCTCATTTTTCTCTAAACTTCTATAGTTTTTAAAAATTAGAACCCAACTGTGACGAACTTAAACCAGTGATCTGTAGACCGTGGATACCCTTCATATCACCTTGTGTAATGTAGCCGAGATGAAATTGTGTCTTCCGGAAGGGGGGAAGCCAGAATCCTAAAGTGCTATTTGAGATCAATTCTTCGGAAAAGGATTGTGTCAGTAGTGTGATGGAAAGGAAGATAAATAGAGATGGAAGAAGAGAAGTTGAAAGAAAGCCTAACAGTCTGTTTGGGTTAGACTGTGGTTATTCTAATTGTTCATTATTTTCCCTTCTAGATTCTGAACCCTCCGCCATCCCCGGCCACAGAGCGGTCCCATTACACAATGGAGTTTGGTTATTCTTCTCCCAGCCCTTCCACTCACAGGTCATACAGGTGATACACGTTGTCTTCTAACAGAAGTTGAAGTACTTTTTCTGAGGAGAAAGAGTTCTAGTTGTGGGCTTGATAAAGTCCCAGTTGGGAAGATGATGGTCACCAGAGAGAATCGACATCTTGTCGTGGTAGTGCTGCCGTTTCCCCCTTCCTACAACAAATCCTTTTCTTTCAGTGCATTATACGTTTTTTAAAGAGACTCAGAAATGCTAGCTTTTAGAACGATAAGTAGAATCTCAGGCTTTCGCAGTACTCTGAGGAAAAGTACCCCCCAAAATGACTGATTTCAGCACAAGTTTCTGCTTACTTTAGGTTTAAATGACCTTCTAAAAATGGACTGAGTTAAGATTATGGATCAGAGAGTTGTTGGGGCTCTAAAACAGCAGAGGTGTCAGGAGTGCAGAAGTTGAGAGAAGCATAAATTAAGGCTTGCTTACGTATGTTATTACAATCTAGGATGAAAGAGTGCAGGTAGTTGTATGGAATAATCAAGTCTCACTAAAATAAATGAAATGTATTTATAAGCCAAAAAGGAGCTATGCCGTCATGCTTTTGTGAGCCTATAGAGAGTGTTGAGCAGGTAAGTACTGTTATATCAGCATTACTCTTCCGTCTGATTTGAAAGGCCAGCAGGAAGTCAACAGTGATGTGCTCTGAATAAACACTGAGTGCCAGTGATTATGGACATCCCTCAAGTGCCTGTTACCGTCTAGCTAGGGTGTTTGCTGACATTCCAGCCAAATTGCCGTGGATTCATATAACCTTACAAATGTGTAGAAATAAAGTGGAAACTGTTTATAGTACCTCATTCAGAATTCTCATTTCAGTTTATAGATGAGACTGAGGTAGGTTTGGCCCTGAACTGATGGTTTTTGTGTTTTGTTTTGAATGTTGTTTTTCCCTGCCACAAGTTTGCTTTTTAAAAGCCAAAACAGAAAGGTAGAAACCTGAAAATTCACAAACAAAAGGAAAGACCTAAAATTTTATTTAAAAATATTTCTTTAATTCAAGATGAATAAAACAGTTTGATTAAAATAAACATAATTATATCAGAAATAATTCTTACTTCACCGTTTCCCGTGTCTCATGTTATGCTCAGTTTCTGTTTCTTCTGAGCTAAACCTTTCATGATTTGTTGAAATTTTTGTCTAACCTGGGACTTAAAAGAATTTTGTTAATTCCATTTTCTTTCATGAAATTATTGAGGCTTTTCAATGTTCAGCCAAGAAATTTCACCAAGGCTGTACACCTAATTGGACAAAAAGATGGAACCTAAAAAACTATGACATCATGTCAGTACTCATGGTAGAAACTTTTGAGAACCTGCTCAACAGATCATGTAACTTTTGGTCTATTCATCTTTTGAGGCTGGCATCCTGGGATATTGTGATATTCTATATCAGTAGGTATTTTACCAATTGTTACATTCCCCCTTCTCTTGCAGTCACTTTGGTGAAAAAAAAAAACTGAGAATCTTTGAGATAAATATGAAATGAGATCCACTTTGCATATTTAGAATATAAATGGTATAAGAAGTTACAGATAGAAGTAGATACGTTGGAAAAGTCAGCCTTTTAGATCAGTTTTTATCTTCACTAGTTTGTTCCTCTTTTTCCAGTGCGTTTGTCTTTAGTAAGCCAGGCTACGAACTTAATTAACAGCTGTATCATAAGACTACTTGAAGAAGTAGATAAACAAATATAAAAAAAAAAATAGATTTCTGAAATACATATTGGGAAATTCACTGGTCCTCTGTGGGTATTCGAGGCATTGGTGGTTCAGTGTTACATTCTCACCTGCCATGTGGGTGAGCTGGCTTTGATTCCCGGCCAGTATACCCCAAGCACAGCCACCAGCTGTCACTCAGTGGAGGCTTGCATGTTGCTGTGATGCTGAACAGCTTTCAGGGGTGCTTCCAGACTAAGACAGACTAGTAAATAAGTCAATCTACTTCCGAAAATCAGCCACTGAAAACCCTATGGATCACAACAGTCTTACCCTATTGTGCATGGAGTCACAATGAGTGGGGGGCCGGCTCGATGGCAGCTAACCACGACAGTATTAAAATTTATCTATCACTTTAATAGACCTGCTCTTAGGACAATATACTTGCCTATATATAGGGAATCTAAATTTATTTCCCCCAAACCACAGCAATTTCCGTTTGATAATAGTAACAGTAATGGGATAGATACGTCTCTTATGCTGTCTACCAAAATTCACCTTAGGCTGAGTTTTAAAGAGAGAAATGAAGTTTTCAGACTTAGTCATCGTGTACATTATGGAGCAGTTAAAGAATGTTGAGGGCATGTTGACATGTTTGAGTAGTGTAAAATATGTAAAGACCCGTTCTTCTCCTAGACCATGAAACTGTGGAAATTGGTGAAGGTCTCTTATACAGAATAAGTATAAACTGTATAACTGATGTTTTCCAGAGATTACTGTTAAGTCCTTTTTTATTTTGTGATATGGTTTAACGTGAAGATATAAATGCACATCCAGAGGGTAGATTGAGTTCACCTCTGCTTTCCCATCCTATTTATTTTTACTTGCTTTTAATCACATTTCCTTTAGAAATATAAAAATACGGTTGATTCTTGCTACTTGCAGTAGTTCTATGAAGTCCTCACAAATGCTGAATTAATGAATGCTAAACCAGCCTCGGTCGACCTCAGCTAGGAAGTTTTCACCTCTCTTAGCACGTATATGTCTGTGCATGACTGGGGAAGCACTGCAAGTATTTTTAGATACAGGTGACTTTGCAAATATGGAATCTGTAAATATGAGATTAGACCGTACATTAGACTCCTCCGGTCTGCCATTGAACATGGCCTCTTGGTCTATGCAGATTTAAATTGCAAAAGCTCATTGCCTTCAAAGTGATGTTTACATCTATACCTCTGTAGTCACACAGGGAAAACCACTTTCTCTAAAACTGACTCTCCTTCTCTTGGTTTCCTCCTGGTACCAGCTACAGGCCATACAGTTACCGGCACTTTGCACCTCCCACCACACCCTGCAGCACAGATGTTTGTGACAGTGACTATGCTCCCAGCCGGAGAATGACCTCAGTGGCAACAGCCAAGGGCTACACTAGTGACTTGAACTATGACTCAGAGCCTGTGCCCCCACCTCCCACACCTCGAAGCCAGTACTTGTCGGCAGAGGAGAACTGTGAAAGCTGCCCACCTTCTCCGTACACAGAGAGGAGCTACTCGCATCACCTCTACCCGCCGCCGCCCTCTCCCTGCACAGACTCCTCCTGAGGAGGGGCCCTCCTCCTCTGACTGCCTCCAAAGCCAAACTGTAAATAAACCTTGGGTTTGCGATCTGGAGGGGGGGAGGGAGCTACGACAGAAGGGTGAGGCAGACCATGTACAGTTAAAAATTATAAAACGGGGGAGGGAATACTGGAGATATTTGTACAGAAGAAAATGATATTTATATATTTTCTTAAAAACAGCACATTTGCTGCTTGTGCCATAAAAATTTGTATAAAAAATAAATTTGTACTAAAAGTTTTATTTTTGCAAACTAAATACACAAAGCATGCCTTAAACCCAGTGAAGTGACTGAGTACGAAGGAAACAGGAATAATAAAGGCATCACTGACTAGGAATGTCAGCTTTATCGATACCAAAAAGAAGAAGAAGGTTAAGTCCATCTCAGAGCAGCAAACCATAGGTACTTGGCAGTAGCCAAATAGCCTTCATTGTTATTTTGGAGGCCAAGTTTACGAAGTCACAGAAGAAGAAAAAAGGCGTTAACACTAACCTTGGACAAAGAGCTTCGTTTTCTCTAGGAATCCAATGATTTTAGTCAGGAAAATAGAAATAGATTTATAAAAATCCCTTCTGAGTGTTGCCGTTGTAGGAGAGGTCGGCTGTCTGGGAAGGTCCTGTGGGGCTGTTTGTGAGAGTCTTCTGTCCCTCCCTTAGAATGAACACCTCTGTCAGACGTTAATTTCCTCTGGATTTGTTTCACCTTGATGCCTCCCCCAGCAGCTTCGTAGGCAGTCTAGCCAAGATACTATATAATTCATTCAAATTTTTCATCTGAGGAATTGATTCAATGGAGTTTTCTCAATTAAGGTTGGGTTTTAATGTTTCTGGTAGCTCCATTCACCAATAGGCTTAGCTCTGCAATTTGATGGCTGTTGTTCCATAACGATCAGGAGTTACACGTTTCATTGCTCCTCTTGACTTCTAAGATTGTTTTCATTCATACTCATGAAAGTGTCTTATCACAACATATAGACGGTGTTTAAGAATTACAGATTTAACGATGACTGTTTTTGTTGTAAATTAATCATATACCCTTGCAGTACTTTCAGCATATACTATCACAATATAAAATCATTTTTATATGTATTTTTCCTAGTAAAACATTTAAATATGTTCCAGTTAGAGACAGTCTATTTAAAAGGAGAACTTTTTGTTATCATTAGAAGGTTTCTCTTTCTGTATTAACTGTTGGTGCCATTTTTATGTTGTTTAAGCCAGTTTTTCTCAGAACGACGTCTGCATGCTTACCTTCTGATGAGCGATACGAGTTTAGTGTCTTCCTGTTACCCACTGTGAATGTTAGATTGTTTTCAAATTATCCACAAATTGTTCTCATAATCACCTTTTATATGTTTTTATATGTGTTCTCTCTCTTATCCTATCATGGATTAGGATTTAACAAATTTAAAAATGTGGATTAAATGAGAAGGCAAACTGTTAACCTCTCAGTTGTCAGAACTTGGGTGGAGGGGAATAATGGAGGTCTCTCACGTAACCTGTCTTGTACGGTACTGGGCTGCTACTTCTTCAGCTATCGGGGCTGACCTGTGGAATGATTCTAGCACGCTCTGCCACCTTGCCAGAAGTTCGATTTCCTGCTTTTTACATGTTTTCAGCATTTTTCTGCTAAAAATGAACGTGTTTTTAAACTATTGTGTTTTTATGTTAATAGGTGTTGGTCAGTTATCAAATGATTTTTTTCATTGTTCTGTCTTGCTGAGGCCTCTCTGGGTTTCAGGACCCAAGATAAAACAGTAGAAGAAAGGATTCAGAATTTTGGCAGGGAGAAAGTAACTTTTTAAGCAATTTAAATATACCTAAGTAAACGTTTTAATAGAAAAAAGCTTGTGGCTCCAGAATAATGCTTATGTTGTCGTGGACAGCTTGCATGAGTCGGGTGCACTTGGTTTTGCATATAAATGAGTCATAGTCCATCAGTGTCTTGCATTTCAGTCAGACAAGCATGAACTCTTCCTGTTGCTGGAACAAAGTGCCCACAGTCTAAGATAGCCTGGGCATTGAGCCTGCATTCTGCGGCCCACGGGGGCACTGATGCTTAAATGAAGATGGAAAGGTTAGCAATAACTGGGTATCGATAGAATTGGAGGATTCTCTGTTTACATTTTTTAATGTGCATCTCTATGTGGTGGGCTTCCCGTAGGGAAACTTGCACTATGATGAACTAGGAAGAACGTTGCCTTGTCATGTCTCAGGCCAAGTGCTTGTACTGCCACGGCAACGGCCTCTTCTTGCAAAGTACTGATTTGTCTGCCAATTGGTTTGAGATTATCTGAAGGCAATTCAGCTTAATCTCAGTATCCTCTTTCAGGAGTAGCTGACTTAAATCCTTAATCTTTTGGGGAGTACTTCACGAGAGAATTGTCAAATCCAGGAAAGATCCGTTGGCCCTTGGGTCACATGGACAGTTAAGCCTAAGTAAACTGTATCTTGATGATTAAATACAAGAGCTTTCATTGGAGAGGAAATACACATGCAAGAGCACAAACTGGGGAAAAAATGGAAAAGGCTTCTTCAGTGTGGTGTATTGCTAGATTCTTTATTCAAGGGGGAAAATAAATGAAATTTCTTTAGATTCCTTGAATACAAAAGAGTTTATTTTGAACATGGGTCTTAAAAGATGCCTGCACTTGTGTGATTAAAATGATGGGAGAAATGAACTGTAGTATAGCATACTTTCTGGTCTGCATTGAGGTAGTGTTTTATAACTAAGGTTTTCAGACTTGGCTCCTGCAGTGGTCCAAAGAGTTTTGCTGCTTGAATCAGATCATGGCAAATTCACAGGAATAAACCGAGTTAATGGATAGAATTTCTCAGCATTCAGTTTTTCTTCCATGAAATTTTATTATACCTTTGGCACTTGCTGCCTCTCTTCTGTACGAGCATATCATGAGACATGGTCTGATTAGCTGAAAATTAATGTACTTTGTGATGTACCACCAGGAGAAATCAGACCGTATTTTAGAGAGACAATAGATTTAGAAATGAATACCTTAATATACATTTCCACCTAATATAGATCAATAATTTGGGGGACTTCCAGCAGTAACATTTTAAGAAGATTGAGGATTGTATTCCGTCATCATTTAAGAATACCCTGAAATCAATAACCGTTGAAGGCCAACTCATACGATACTAAGACACAGAAATGGCCATCAATTTTAGGGTCTAAAACTAGCAATCAGTTTTCGTGGAAGATCTTTCTTGTTTTGTGATACAAGGTCCATACAAATAGAATCAGTAGCTGAAGCTTACCTAGCTTATTAATGAGATGTGTATATTTTTGTGACCTAGTAAAATTATGGAGCCCTGGTGGCACAGTGTTTAAGAGTTTGGCTGCTAACCAAAAGGTCGGTAGTTGGAATCCACTGGCCTCTCCTTAGAAACCCTATGGGGCAGTTCTACTCTGTCCTGTAGGGTCACTATGAGTTGGAATCGATTTAGACGGCAACAGGTTTGGTTTGGGTTTTGGTAGAATTACGGTAGAGGCTATTCACTTCCGGTACTAGGGGCTTGCCTGTGTCTCTGCAGTAGATGGGCCACTGTTTTCTGGTCCTGTGCCTATATTAGATTCTTTGAAATGTAGTTTTTTTAATTGTTTTATTTCTTACAGTGGAAAACTTAACCACTTCGTTGATTTGTATGCCATAAGAGCTGCATATTGGTTACCATTACAGATCTAACAAGATTCAGAAACAAAAATCTTGGACTATTCACACCTCAAGTACGTCTTGCTTTTGATAAGTGCAGAGCTCAAGGCTATGTGATGGCATACCAAGCATGTTTGGAGTGTGCGTATGAGTGTGTAAAGACTCGTCGGTAGACAGAGTTGAGTATCCACACAGAACTGTACACTAAATGTGGATGTGAACAGAGAACTAAAGAAGTTTATAATCGAGCGTTGTTTAAAACATACTATCAGGCTTCTTAAACTCAAGAAGAAATTTAATTTTACTCGGCACTTCTTTCCTTATCCCACGCCTACAGTGAGCCAAGAGAAATAACAGATATGATTTTAGAAAGCGCTGTGTGGTTTCTGACTTCTGGGATGGCATCACTTCTTAATAGTCTAAAAAATTTTAGCTTTTGAAAAATTTTAGAATAGAGGGCTCTGAACCTGAAGCATAAATTTATAGATTAATAATTTTAAAAAATTAATTGAGCATTGTGAATCTATATCCTTAGGTTCTTTCTGTTTGACTTGACTCTGCATCTCATTAAACTAAGCCTGTATCTTGGTGGAGCAGAAAGTGGCATTTGCAGCTTCCGTCAAGGTTCATCTAAATGACTTAGAAATAAATTACTGACTCTACCCTCAATCCAGGTAAACTTTACGGTGTTTAAGTAAAGGCAAAATCTCTAAGCCAGTCTTACATTTATTGATGAAAAAATCCACATGATTTTACAGATAAAATTATAAACCAAGTGATTTCCTGTACTCCGAGGTGAAACGTGGACCTAACGTATACTGACCTTTAGATTTCCCCCCATTGCCAAGGGTTTGCCCAGAGGTAAACACCAAAGAATTACAGGCAGCATGCTTTTGCTTAACTGTCCATTCTGGAGTCTTTTGTTTTTTAAAGCAAATATAAGCAGAAGGGGAGGGGGATACATATATATACACACACACACATATATATAGTAATGCCTTTATATGGGCATTAAAAGGAAAATAAAGCAAAAAAAAAACCTGATTAAATCTAGTGTTAACATAAAGTATCTAGGTTTAGTAAAGGGCATTTAAAGAGAGTAAAGAGGATCCCACGAAGCTTAAGCTGGACTAGCCTTATCTGCGAGTGAAGGATCTGGTGCTGCTTTCAGATGTTTATCCTTTGTGTGTTTTAAATGTTTCTTCTTAAGCTTTAATCTTGGTCATTGTCTTCCAGTCAGCTGGCGTTTCTTGTTCGTGGACTTTGGTACGCTGGTGCTCGCAAGGATGTGTTTATATTATAATGGCCAACATT